CAGTTCCATCCATGTCGAAGCAAATGGTGGGTATTTGTCATTTCTAATGGCTGAGTAATATTCCATTGTATACATACACCACATCTTCTTTATCCTTTCATCCTTCAATGGACACTGAAGCTCCTTCCACAGTTTGGCTATTGTGGACATTGCTGCTATAAACATGGGGTGCAGGTGTCTCCGTCTTTCACTGCATCTGTATCTTTAGGGTAAATCCCCAGCAGTACAGTTGCTGGGTCGTAGGGCAGGTCTATTTATAACTCTTTGGGGAAGCTCCACACAGTTTTCCAGACTGGCTGCACCAGTTCACATTCCCAGCAACAGTGCAAGAGGGTTCCCCTTTCTCCACATCCTCTCCAACATTTGTTGTTTCCTGTCTTATTAATTTTCACCATTCTCACTGGTGGGAGGTGGTATCTCATTGTGTTTTGATTTGTATTTCCCTGATGGCCAGAGATGCAGAGCATTTTCTCATGTGCTTGTTGGCCATGTCTATGTCTTCCTCTGTGAAATTTCTGTTCATGTCTTTTGCCCATTTCATGATTGGATTGTTTGTTTCTTGGCTGTTGAATTTAATAAGTTCTTTATAGATCTTGGATACTAGCCCTTTATCTGATACGTCATTTGCAAATAACTTCTCCCATTCTGTAGGTTGTCTTTTACTTTTGTTGACTGTTTCTTTTGCTGTGCAGAAGCTTTCTATCTTGATCAAGTCCCAATAATTCATTTTTGCTTTTGTTTCCCTTGCCTTTATGGATGTATCTTGTAAGAAGTTGCTGTGGTCAAGTTCAAAAAGGGTGATGCCTGTGTTCTCCTCTAGGATTCTGATGGATTCTTGTCTCACATTTAGATATTTCATCCATTTTGAGTTTATCTTTGTGTATGGCATAAGAGAATGGTCTAGTTTCATTCTTCTGCATGTGGATGTCCAATTTTCCCCACACCATTTATTAAAGAGACTACTTTTTCCAGTGGATAGTATTACCTGCTTTGTTGAATATTAGTTGACCATAGAGTTGAGGGTCCACTTCTGGATTCTCTATTCTGTTCCATTGATCTATGTGTCTGTTTTTGTGCCAGTACCACACTGTCTTGATGACCACAGCTTTGTAGTACAACTTGAAATCTGGCATTGTGATGCCCCCAGCTATGGTTTTCTTTTTTAATATTCCCTGGGCTATTCGGGTTTCATCAGGTCTTAGCACATCTCTTTCCTAATAGCAGAGTTTAGAGATGGGGGATTGGGGAACATGAGGCACCTGGAACACTGAGCAGCAGTGAGGAAGGGATGCTCTCAGAGAAAAATAAATTGGTGAGGGCAGTCAGGCCCTGTGATATCTGTGATATCATTACACTAGTGCCAAGGGCTGATTCTGTGTTAAAACCTTTGCCCTAAAGGGGCCTCCTATATTTCACGTATTCCTTGATATTGACAGGTACTGGCAACAGTAAAAACCCAAATATTGTGGATCCTGTCCAATCCTGTGGATTCCTGCTGCATCTTGCTTTATCACCAAAGGGGGCAGTGTTTGGGTTTCCCAACTGAAACTAGCAAACAAATAGGGACCTAATTCTTGTCTAGCCTGAAAGGGTGCAGAATATTCAAATTCTTTTCCAAATATGCTAGGTATATTTTTACTAAAAATTCAGGTACTATTAGTCACTCAAACTGAGACTCAAAAATATGGCCAGATCTAGAGAACCAATGAACACTGAGCAGTATTAGATAGCCATGCTTATAGGCTTTAGAATTAAGTCTCAAAACTGAAATGGCATGGGGCACTTAGGTCATTTATACCCCCTATCCACAATCTGGGAATTATTATCTTGCTACTCCCACAAGCCAAACCAAATGTAAATGAGTCACTAAGTGACTGAATCCTGTCCTCGGAACACTCACATTAGGCTGAAACTCAGGGCTTAGGGGTCATTTTTCTGAGTCATATCTGACTTGGCAGCATGAGTTCATGGCAAGAACATGCTGAGTTTCTCCTGCCAGATTCTGGAATGGACATTTCACCTGGAAATAGTAGGTTGACTCTCTCACTTCTGGAAATTTTAATTTGTTTTTTCAGAGCCCACACTCAATGCTAGGGACCTCTGGACATAGTGGCATTCAGCCAGTTATTTTCAAAATATTCCTATACAGTAGGTAAAAAATATTCCTTATTTCTCTGAGAAACAGAGGCCCAGTTTTGGTGAAATGGTAAAACAATGTTGGAGTTAAGACATGAACTTCTTCACACGTTATCATTCATACGAAGATAACTTTGCTTCTGAGTCCCAGATTTGATAAAAAAAGAAAATTTTAAAACAATCCTACAAGTTTCCAAGAATCCTTGACCACTGATCATCTGGAGAGAAGGTTAGATATAAGAAATGTTCTCTTGGCTGCAGGACTAATGTGAACACCTAGCAGCCAGGAAAGCAGAGCTATAAGGAACAAGCCTCACAATCACTGAAGGGCATGTTCGGTCAGAATTCTCTCTCCCCAGTGAAGGCCTCACAATTGCCCAATTACTGAGTACATCACCGAGATACAGTCTCCACTTTTTCTACTAGGCCTGAAATTTCTCCTAGGCGGTTCCCCTCCTCCTGAAGATCTAAATGAGATTGTTTTGAGCCCTCATTCCACTTTGGGAAAGTCTATTGCCCACTCTGTGATTTCTCAGAATTTTACATTTCATTCCCACTGCTGATTCTAACTCCCGGCCCACACTGAAGGCTTGTTCTCTGGTGTGCCCTTCCAGAGCTCTTCTTCCCTCTCCACTTCAGTATCAACCCAAATATGGAACTCAGCCTTCAGATGTTATTTGTTAGAGTGGTTTCAAGTTCACAGCAATATTGAATGGAAAGCACAGAGAGTTCCACATACTCCAGCCCCCACACACACATAGTCTCCCCCCGACTATCAATGTCCAGCACTGGAGTTCTACATCTGTCACAGTCGGTGAACTGACACTACCTCATCATCACCCAAAGTCCATAGTTTACATTAGCATATGCTCTTGGTGTTGCACATTCATGGATTTTGATAAGTATATAATGACATATGTCCACCCATTGTAGTATCATACAAAATAGCTTCACTGCCTTAAGAATCTTCTATGCTCCTTTGATTAATCCTCCCAGAGCTCTGAGCCCTTTATAATCACTGATCTTTTTTTATTGCCTCCATAGTTTTGCCATTTCCAGAATATCATATAGTTGGAATCATACAGAAGCCTTTCCAGATTGGCTTCTTTCACTTAGTAATATGCATTTAAGTTTCTTCCATGTTGGGCAGCCTGGGTGGCTCAGCAGTTTAGCACCCCCTTTGGCCCACAGTATGATCCTGGAGACCCAGGATCGGGTCCCACATTGAGCTCCCTGCATGGAGCCTGCTTCTCCCTCTGCCTCTCTCTCTGTGTCTCTCATAAGTAAATAAATAAAATCTTTAAACAGGAAAAAAAAAGGTTCCTCCATGTCTTTTCATGGCTTGATAGATCCTTTCTTTGAGCTTTGGATAATATTCCATTGTCTGGATATACCAATTTATTTAACCATTCACCTACTGAAAAATATCTTGTTATTTTCGAGTTTGGGCAATTATGAATAAAGTCTTTATAAACATCTGTTGCAGGTTTTTGTAAGGATGTAAGTTTTCAATTCATCTGAGTAAAAACCAAGGAGCACAACTGTTGGATCATATGCTAAGAGAATGTATTTTTGTTAGAAACTGCCCAACTGTCTTCCAAAGTGGCTGTACCTTTGCATTTCCACCAGTAGTGAGTGAGAGTTCCTGTTGCTCCACATCCTCATCAGAATTTGGTGTTCAGAATTGGCCATTCTAATAAGTATGTAGTAGTACCTTATTGCTTTAATTTGTAGTTCCCTAATGACGTATGATGTTGAGCATCTTTTCTTATGCTTATCTGTCATCTGTATATCTTCTTTGATGAGGTACTGTTCAGGTATTTTGCTTATTTTTTAATCAGGCTCTTCATTTCCCTAATGCTGAGTTTTAAGGTCTTTGTAGATTTTGGATAGGGGTCCTTTATCCAAGCATGTTTTTTGGATACAAAATATTTCTTTGAAAATATTTTCCTTTTGCAAAAAATTTCTATCTGTGGCTTGTCTTCTCATTGTTTTGAGGTTGATAGTTATTTTTATTCATAATTTTTGAAGTTAGAATCCTGTCCTCTTTTTGGTTTCTACTACTGTAATCGATTACTGACTATAATTCCCTTCTTTTGGGTTTTCTAAAGGTTTTTCCCCTTTATCTTTTGTACCTTACAATACTATAATGTACCCACATGTTGATTTATTATTTTGGTGGAACTATTGGACATCTTTAATAAGGGATAATGCTTTTCATCAATCTTAGAGAATTCTTAGGCAATCACTTACCAAATAGTGTCTTTCTCTCAGTCTCTTTATTCTCTTGTTCTGGAACTCCTAGTAGATATATGTGGGAGCTTCTCATTCTATCCTCCATGCTTCTTATTGGCAGTGTCATGTTTTCTATCTCTTTATTTCGGTCTACATTTTGCATAATTTTCATAGTTCTATGCTTTCGTTCTATTTAATTTATTGAACTAAAGCAGCAGCGATACTTTGGCAGGGTCTCACAGATGCAGCCCTTTCATCTCCAAGTATTTTTGAGGTATGACCAACCTGTGGGCCCTTCCAGGCAGTGCCCTCTGCACCTGCTTTACCCTTTAGAGGGGAACCTGGCTAATCAGGGAAGAAACTCCCTCCAAAGGTAAACAGTGAGTAGAGTGTACATATGGTAGAAAACAAATGGCTCTTGGTACCATGTTGTGGAAATTATCTCACTTGGGCAGATAAAGGAGGAGGACATGCTCAGGTGGCACCGTTGAGTCCCCTCCTCCAATACACGGCCCATTTGTGACGTGTGCACCAACCTCTCGGAGAAAACTCTATCGCTACACTCTGCACGCTCAAAACTGGGCTATCCCTCTGTTGTGTGGTGCTCTGTGTCAACACTGCACCCCACCATGGCTGTCACTGCCTGCCAGGGCTTGGGGTTCATAGTTTCACTGATCGGGATTGCAGGCATCATTGCCGCCACCTGCATGGACCAGTGGAGCACCCAGGACTTGTACAACAACCCGGTGACAGCTGTATTCAACTACCAAGGCCTGTGGCGCTCCTGTGTCCGCGAGAGCTCTGGCTTCACCGAGTGCCGGGGCTACTTCACCCTGCTGGGGCTGCCAGGTAAGGGCTGGGTGCAGTGCGCTGGCAGGGAGATGGAGGCCACTGCCTGGGGCACCAGAGAGGGGCTGCTGGGGAATGAGAAGCCCCAGCTCCCATCACCAGAGTCAGAACAGGAATGCAGGAGCCTTGGGGAGAGGAGCTTTCTGAGCTGTCAGGGCTCCCGTTCCCCTAGTGATGGTGCCCAATTTCTCCCAAGGGGCACATCGTTTAAACAACTCCTATGTGACCAATGTCATTGATATCCAGTCACACACAGGAACAGGACTCAAGGGACCCAACTCTAGTCCCCAGATTCCCTCCTCCCTGAAATGGAGTCTGTGAATCTCATAAACAGAGTTTCATCCCAGGACCTCTTGTGCCTGGGCCCGACTTCCAGGGAAGCCTAAGCATGTGGCAGCTGCAACAGAAAGGGGCAGAGGAAAGGCATGCAGAAAAACAACTGACTGCTGTGTTTCTTTGGGGTGCGCCAGATGGGCCCCCCCTCTGTGGCTCTATGCTCCTGCACTCCAGAATATATTGGCCACATGGAATCAGATTCAGGGTGCTCTCTGCACAGAGGCCTTTTGTGACAAGTGATATCTGCCCCACGGGCAAGGTGTGTGGGCTGTGATGCCCACTGCCCCAGACTGGTATTAACCACACAAGGATTGTGTGATTGTTATTTTAACTTGAAAAAAAATTCAGGTTTCAAGAGTAGGTATTAAAAGTGTTTTTTTTTTTTTTAAAAAGGGGGGGGGGAGTAGATGTTAGAAGTGTCTTTCACCCATGTAACAGAGTAAGACAATGAATAAACTTGTCATTTTTTATTTTTTAGTTCTTCATTCCTTCCATAAATATACATCAAAATCTTGAGAAGGACACTGATCCAAGATGGGCATTGTAGGGAGCACAGGAAATAAAAAAGTGGGGCTCTCCCCTCCAGGAACTTTGCCATCTGACTGTAGGGTTAAGATTCAGACACACACAGAAGGTGACAAGTAAAGATTTAAGTCACAGAGTGAATCATTCTTTAATACACTCCACACCTACTGATGGAGAGCTCACTGCACTCTCAGGATTATTGGGGCTAGTACTCTCAAAAATATGAAAGTGCACCCCAGTCTGGGTATGACAAGGTACCAAGTGAGGCCAGACGGCCAGTGCTATGGAGATGAGATGAGGATGGAACTGCTCAGGAAAGGTTCCAATGAGGAGGAAAAACCACAAGTAACCCTCAAAAGGCAGGTAGGGTTTGAAAAGGGCAGCAGCACAAGCAAGGGCAGAAGGGTGCTACCACTTGGGTCTTACTTGGGGCAAAATCAAAGAATGACCTTTGCTGAAGGAGAGGGTTTGTGTAGGCACCATAATGGAGGGCATTGATTGCCATTGTTAGAGAGGTCAGGACTGGGTATAAACAATAGGACATGAATCAGATCAGTGAGTGACCAGCTGCGGATTCAGTGGGGCCTCCCTCCGCTACTGGAGCAAAGATGAGCCACTCCCAGATCCAGGTATCTTGCTGACCCAGCCTTGGCTCTGATCTCACCAGCTGTCCTTGGGATTCTCCTCCACCTCAAATACAAAAACTCAAGATCTCTCCAGAGCCTAGGACCTGGGTCAATGCAGAGCTAGAGGCGTTGGTGGAGGAAATCAGCCTGGAGCTGACCTCTTGACTGCTGAGTAGTTTGTGCTGCTCCACAAAGGGAGGATAACAATGGCGGATCATGGACTAGGACTTAAGTAAACACTTGGCTTGCAACACTTTCTGTAACCTCTGCAAACCACCTTGTAGGCTTGGGGTTATTATTAACACCCTTTTAGAAACAAGGAGTAACTTCCCCAAAGTCATATACAGATGGAGTCAGGGCTCAGACCTGTTCTGCCTTCACAGATACCCCGGCTCGTTGTCCTAACATGGAGCCCCGAGACTCTCCAGCTCCAAACAGAAATCTCTCCCGACCCAAAGCAAAAATCGCCAACGTGGAGGCACCTTCCTAGCCTCACCTCCTGGCTAAACCTGGTGCCCCAACCCCACACAGACTTCTCCTTGGGCAGCTATCCTGGATTAACAACACCTGTCAACACACCCCATATTTATTTTACAGATGGAGCCTGAGAGGGCTTACAGAGTTAACATTGGGCCAGATTGAAACTGCCCCTTAGGCCTTCTCTCAGAACCTTCAAGTGTGTGTGTGTGTGTGTGCGCGCACACGCATGTGTAAATCCTGTCACTATTTTAGAGAACTATTTTTTTAAAGAGTTTTGTAGGAATCCCTTTTAAAGGAAAAAAAATTCTTACAGACCCTCAATATTCACTTAACTTATACTTATTTTAATGTTACTTGAATTTAAAAAAAATAATGTTACTTGAATTTATTCTAGTAAGTAGATTTAAATTCTTAATGCATATAAGTTTTATACAAGTACAAAAAGCACATTTGCAAATGTAATGTAAGTAATGCTGAAAAACTAATTAATCTAAATTTCAAAATTAGGTTGGTGTTGGGGATAGTGTTCATGTGCATTGGGAGTTTAACAAAGATATAACCTCAAATCCAATTTTGCATTTTCCCTGTTTCAGTGTTTTGACTTCAATATTATTAATGCAGATTCTTTATTTGCATAGGTTTCTTTTACAAAATGGTGTTAATAAGTTCGAGGTACTTACGTCTCACACCAGCCTCATCATTCCTGTGGTAATAAGGTGTCTGTGGCTTGATAGCTCTTTGCAGTGGTCTTGTTCATTTAGGGTTAAGTTGTATTGAAATGTGGCTCTAAGATTATCAACCCAATTATTTCTGGAACTTGGAAGGGAAAGTTCTCTGCCGTTCATTTACCACCACTGATTGTTGCAATCAAGTATGTGGAAAGACAGGACAGTGCAATTCTGCTGGTGAAGCTAGTGTGGTGTTGACCACAAGGCACAGGTGCCCTAGCTTAGAGTGTCAGCACCACAAAGTAGAGAGAAATTGCCCTGATTGCAACTTCGGTTTGAGGAAGAATGAACCTTGTCTTCATGTAGGAGTTGAGATTACTTCACTGTCCTCTGGTATAAACATGATCATTAACAAAAACACAAACGTGAACCATAAGAGGCCAGCCTGAGGATCTGGAATGTAATTGTCTTAATTTCCCTTCCATTGTCATTGAAATGAAATTACAGAATTCTAAAATTTCCATTGAGAAGCTATACACTTCCCAAATGACTCTCAGGCTCAGAGGGAAGAAGTCAGGCACAACCAAACCTTCCAGAGGAACTCTAGGCATAGGACTGGCAGTCACCTTCCTAGGTAAAATCATTTCACTAGGCCCATAACTGGCAGCCAACTTGTCTGGGCTGGCCAGATTTGGACAAGTGCCCGTCTTGGCAGGGTAAGGAAGAAAAAGCAAGGGCCTTTGATCCTTTCCCACACACAGAAATAATAGGAAAATAAATAACACAGAAATTGTGGTATTAGAAGGAATCCTTAATTATTCAACAAATATTTGTTGAACACCTATTATGTCCCAAGCTGTCTACACCTAAGGAACATAGGTATCACAAATCTAGAAGGAGACAAAGAGTAAACAGGCCATTGTAATGCAGGTGTTCTCAGCCTCAGCATTATTTACATTCTGGACCATATAATTCTTTTTTCTGTTCTGTGCGTTATAGGATAGTTAGCAGCATCCCTAGTCTCCACGCACTAGACAGGAGTAGCTAGCAGCACCCTCTACCCAGTTGTGATAACCAAACATCTCCAGACATTGTGCCCTGTCCCTGGAGGGCAAAATCAGACCCCGTTAAGAATCAGTGCAAGAAAGTATAGTAAGTGTCTTGCATGGTATGGGGTATAGACATGAGGAAAAGAAGGCTTTCTAAAGGAAATGCCAGTGAGGCCAAGTTACTAGGGAAGCATATGAGTTACTCAAGGAAGTAAAAGGGTAAAGGGTTTTCCAGAAAGAGAGAATATCATCTCGAAAAGACACAGTAGCATGAGAGAGCATAGTGTATTAATAGAAATAAAATAACTTAGTTTTGTGTGATATGAGCTGGAGGAGGGGGTGATATAGTACAACGACATGCGTTAAACACTTAGGAATGATAATTTTAAATATTTTGCAAGAATCAAAATGAAAAACAAGCTTTACTAAGAAAAAGTTAAGTCTTAATTAAGGCTCCTAGATAATAATATTATAAAGATATGAATTTATGAAGATGTGGATTTGTCCCTAATTAATGTATAATAATAAATATTATTTTATTATTATTAATAAAATTTATTGAGACCTTACTGTGTGCTAGGTATTTGTTTAATAAATTAGCATATGTTAATTGCCTAAATTACATAATTATATACGTTTACATAAATTACCTATGCATACTGTAATTGTCACAACAGCCCTATGAAGTAAGTAGTAATAGTATCTCCCATCCCTGGGTGGCGCAGCGGTTTGGCGCCTGCCTTTGGCCCAGGGCGCCATCCTGGAGACTCAGGATCGAATCCCACGTCGGGTTTCCGGTGCATGGAGCCTGCTTCTCTCTCTGCCTGTGTCTCTGCCTCTCTCTCTCTGTGACTATCATAACTAAATAAAAAAATTAAAAAAAATAGTATCTCCCATTTTATAGATGAAGAAACTGAAGCACAGAAAGATTAAAGAATTTGCCTGATGACATTTTAATAGTAAGTGGCAAGGGGAAGATTCAAACTCAGGCAGACTTTCTCCAGAGCCTAAGCTGCATACCAAGAATTCTAATCAAAATATCAGCAAGAGTTTTCCTTTGGGAACTTGACAAAGTCATTAATCTGTAAGAAGAAGCAGATGATATTAACCTTTCATAGTTTTTTTCAGAATAAAATAAAAATAGTGAGCTAACTCCACCAGATACTTAACCACATTCTAAAGGTGTAGTAATTAAAAGTGCACTTTGGCCCAAGATGGACAGATTGGTCAATGGAATAAAATCTAAAATTAGAAGTACATATACGTGAATTTCATGTAGATAGAGGAGGATTTACAAAGCAATGGGGAAAGGAAAG